CACACACACACACACACACAAACACACACAGAGGAAGATGTCATGCCCTTCAAAGACTAAACTTTTCTTTTACTGGTGGGGAATTAAAACTCCCCTATTCCTCAATTGGAAATCATATTCAGACAAAGAAAATTATTAAAAATATCCTTTCCTTTCTGAAGCCTGGCTCTTTCTCTGCACCTATATTGGGAGGGGGGGAATAGGGGAAATGCAAGTGGCGAGGCCAGCCTGCCCCCCTCTTGTCTCCTACCCCCCCTTCCCAACGGGACAAGAAGGCGGAGCGCTGGTCTTGCAAACGGGGATCAGCACACTCGCTGCCTCCTCCTCCCCGGGAGGAGCTGTGCAGCGGGACAGATGGACGGAGGGGGAGATCGCCCCTTCCTCCTCCGCGCCCCCAAACCCCGTCTTCCCTGGCCTGCACCCCTGCGCTGGAAAGGCGAGCAAAACGCGCAACTCGATGCTATGCCGTGCAATGCAAGCGATGCAATGCAAGGCAACGCAACCCGCCCAGGCTCCTTTGGGTTCGGGGGTGATCCCAATGGGGGGAGCGGGGGATTCCCGGAGCGGAGGCCTCCCGGTGCAACGGTCTGCTGCAGCTCCGGGGCGAACCTTCGCCTTCCCCGCCCAGGATTGCAAGGCTGGAGGCCTCGGCAGCAGCCACCCCCACCCCCAGCCGGCCAACCCTCGGCCCGTACCGTCAGCGGCGGGACCCGCGCGGCTCCTCTCCTCCCCGGCGCCGTCCGATGGGCGTGCGAGCGCTGGGGGACCCCCGGGACTCGCGGCCGCCGCAGCTGCGCCCATCAATCCCCGCCTCGCTTTGCCTTTGCTTGCTGGATCGGCGGAAGGGAGCCCGCGGGCGCCCCCTCCCGACAGGCCGCGTCTCTGCTTTGTTCCCCGCAGCGGCCGGGCAGCGGAGAAGCTCGTCCGTGACATCAAAGTTTAGAATACAATAGGATAGACTACAGTAGAGTTGGAAGGGACCTTGAAGGTCATCTAGTCCAACCCCTTCTCAAGCAGGAGACCCTACACCATTTCTTACAGATGGAAATCCAGTCTCTTCTTGAAAGCCTCCAGTGATGATCAATCAATCAATCAATCAATGAGTAGCACTGGAAGGGACATTGGAGGTCTTCTAGTCCAGCCCCTTCCTCACGCAGGAGATTTGGGTCAGATTTGGGGAAAACTGGTCAACCCTAATAACCCTGAGATGGATTTCTGTGTGGTCTCCCAACTAGTTCCCGAATGGAGCCTGCCCTGCTTAGGGTTTTTCGAGATCCGCTATTGATCAGCTAGCTGTGTGCATTCTTTCTGCCTGAAAAGACAACCTAAAACTTTTGGGTCAAGTGAGGAATAGAAAACTGACTTTGTTGCACAGTGGCTGTGTGTTGCTAACCCTACAGGTAGCCATTGATTTTCTCTCCTACTTCTCAGCTTCTCCACAACTTCCTTGCTTTGTAGTTCAGAGAGCAGTACTTCGAATACAGATGTCCATGGAGATTCTCAGTCATCCGGGTCATGGTTCTTNAAAAAAGTGGTGTTATTAGCCATCAAGCCTCAAAAATACACTTTTCCCACAAAGTTTCCACAATTTTGGCCACTACTGTATGTTACGTAAACACTGAAATTGATAAACTATACCGGACGGGCTTCTGATTTGGTCCCTTGCTGGCTCCGCAGGAAGTCCTCCACCAGGGCCACCACCTGGGAACATGTGTCTGGCCTCCTGGGGTGAATCCAGTCCAGGAGCTTTGGAGGGAGGCTGGCCAGGAACTGCTCCAGGATGAGCAGCTCCAGGATCTGCTCTTTGGTGCGTCTCTCCGGCTTCAACCACTGGTGGCAAAGCTCCTGGATCTGCTTGTAAACCATCCGAGGGTCTTCTACCTCCTGGCAGCAGAACTGCCTGAAGCACTGACGTCGGGCCTCTGTTTTCAGCGCTTCCCCTTTCAAGATGGCGGCCTTCACGTTCTCGTAATCCCCTTGGTGAATGGTGTCCAGGCTGCGAAAGGCCTCTTCAGCTTCTCCACAAAGGGCTGGCAGGAGGTGGGTTACCCACTCTCCTCTGGGCCACCGGCAGGCTCTGGCCACCTGCTCGAAGGAAGCCAAGAAGGCCTTGGGATCTTCCCAGGGAGAATTCCTTGATCTTGCTGGATTTCCTTCTCTGGGATGAGAGGGTTGAAGGGTCTGGAGGAATTGCTGCCACTGCGTTTCCCAGCGCGCTTCCATCATCCCAATGAATGAGTCTTCCTGGATCCAAGGCGATGCTCCCTTATCTTGGTCTCTTGATTGTAAACTGAGCTTCAACTGCTCCAATGTTTAGTTCTTCTGTCCGGTCTGGTTCCACTTGTTCTTTCGTCTGTAGCCCCTTCTTCTATAATATAGAGCATTTTCAAATTAGCACACTAGACAAAATATTGTGAGAACATACTGAGAATATACACACCAAAGACAAATTCCTTGTGTGTCCATTCAAGAGTTCTGTTCTGTTCTATTCTATTCCATTCTATTCTTCTATGCTATGCTATGCTATGCTATGCTATTCCTTTTCCTATTCCATTCTATCAGAAACCTGAAATTCACCTCTTTAAATCTCAGTTTTCAAAAGTAATTCCAAGATGCAGCCCCCGTGATTCTAAAACCACCTCCTGAACTATTTTATCCTCTTGTTTCAACTAACCTAAAATGCAACCTTAATCCTAGATAAGCACACACTTCTTACAAAGTTAAGGGATTTCGATGCTAAGTAATGTTTGACTTTTTGGAGAGGTAGGGCGGCTTCAGCACAAAAGAGTTATAAATTAAAATATGACACTACTAAGCCATGCTTGTATTTACAACATTTACCACCACCACCACCCCCCCCCGTGAGTTTTTGCTGTTTCTCCATTTTGGGGGCTTCTGTCCTCCAAAATCTAGGCTAAACAAAATTTCAGAATTCATCACTTGTAGCACAATACAAGAATATCACACCAGTTAAAGAAACTAAGCCAAGAATCTTGAAAAAGTGGTAGATATTTGCAATCCAAAATTCACTTTCTTAATTCTCCGTAAACTTTTAATGTTTGGGGGAGCCTTGTCCCAGACATGTTCCTTTTAACTAAAAGAGAACAACCCACTCTTTTATCAAGAAGTTACACACACACACACACACACACACACACACACACACACACACACAGAGGGAGATGTCACACNCTTTGGCCTCTGCTCCCAGCAATTTATCTCTTTGCTTGCGGAGGCTTCAATAAGCTATAGCAATCCCTGCAGCCTCCAACAGCTGATGATCAGGAGAAATTGAAAGTGAAACTTGCTCTTTGCTCCATATGGCAAATTGTTGGGAGGCAGATTTTTTTTCCCTTGGGCTAATGGGGCTCTTTGCTTAAAGGAGGTAAGTTAACAACTATAAATGCCTATAGAATGTTCAAATTATTAGACTTTATTTAAAAAAGACTGCTTTATTATTGTTCTAGACAACATAACAAAATGAAGAACCTTTTTCAAATAAATGCTTGATCTGAAGAGGCCCAGTGCTATTCTTTTAAAAAGTGCTATTCTTTTAAATAGCAGAGAATAACTATACTTCCAGAAAGCATATTTTAACAGCATCTGTACAAGTATAGTTTGAAATATAAAACTACAAACAGTGTATATTGTCTGTGTTGTTTGTTGCAAGGAGGCAAATTGCTGGGAGGCAGAGGCAGATATTTTTCCCTTGCTTTCCCCTCCAAAATCTAGGTGCATTTATATTCCAGAGCGTCTTATACTCCGGAAAATACAGTATGTCTACCTGATGTGCAGCTCTACCATTCCTCTCTATTGTAGTTGTTTCCTTTTTCACATTGCCACTCTAGGATTCATCTCTATTGTTCCTGTGATGCATTTCCTGCTCCTGTTGTATTACTCACTCACTAGTAAAATGGTTTCTGCACAGTGATGGCTTGTGGTATGCTTACTTACTCTACATGAAATATGGCTCCAGAAGCAGTTGAATCTTCGCTGTCTCTACACACTTGATGCATACCAGTCTACCACTTGCAGTCCTGTCTTGGAAGCATTTGAATCAAGAGAAGTATCAGCATAACAACCGCTAACAGCATACCACCACCTGAGGCCGTGAGGGTGAGTGGAGATTGCAGCAGTAACTGGGACAATTTCAGGGCAGAGTTTGAGGCTTATTCCATAGCCATAAGCTTAAATGACAAGCGAGCAACAGTGCATGCAGCGACACTGAGGAGACTGATGAGCAGTGAATGCCTCCATGTTTACAAGAACAATTTAACCCTCCAGAGATTTTAAAATATATTCTGTTGGGCTAAATTAGGGTAGAATGCAATGAGGATGCTGAGATTATATTCTCCAAAATAGAGAATCCCAATCTATATACATGAAGAAGAAAGCAATAAACTGTTTTATCCATATTGTTTCTTTCATAGATATAATCCAGAATGATGAAAAACAATGTTAAAACAACCAATAACACATAACCCTTAAAATCTGTAAAACCAATTACAGAACAAATAATGCAATCTGGATTTGAACATATTGTGATGGAATGTTATGCTTCTTCACTGTAGCAAAATCATTCCATTGATTTCACCATCACAGTAATGTGCAGTAATAAAAACAGAGAATTAGTGGGCTGACGGATCGAGAATGACTAGATCAGCTACAGTATATATCACACTTTTCAGTGAGTCTTAGTCAAATGTGGGAAATCTTGGTTCCATGGTTTAAATTTGGCCTACAAATGTTCTTATTCCATGTTCCATTACAACTTTGGAACCTACAGGTGAAACTCGAAAAATTAGAATATCGTGCAAAAGTTCATTTATTTCAGTAATGCAACTTAACAGGTGAAACTAATATATGAGATAGACTCATTACATACGAAGCAAGATAGTTCAAGNCAGGGCTGGAGCGAGCGAGCGAGCGAGCGTGCTCCGTCCCGGTGGGTGCATGAGCAGAGCACTTTTCCAGCACTCCTGTGCCTGGAGAGCTCCGTCTGCATATGAGCCCGGGATCCACCGCTTGCGCTCCCTTGCTCCGCCCCGTGACCCACCTTCCCTATCGAGGGGCTCCTCCAGCAGAGGAGCAGAGTCGCATCGAGCGCCGCTCTGCTTTCCTCCGTGCTCTTCCCGCCCAGACGCCCAAAGCCTCCCAGCCCGCCCGTCCCAGGGCGAGTCAGCTGCAGTGCAGCGGGCGGCGATCCCACCACCATCCGCCCGCTCACTCACCCCGCCCATCACTTACTCTGAGTTTGGAGCAGAAGCGGCAGCCCCAGGTGGCTCTTTTCGCTGAGGCTTTCCCATGGCTTGTCCGGAAGTGGGGCTGGAAAGGCGAGCTTGCTCCCCCGCCCATCCACCCACTCACTCGCTACGCTTCCCCACCCATGCGAGCGGCAGTGGATGGGCGGGGGAGCGAGTCGAAGAAGGCGCCAAAATTAAGCGGGATCTTTTGGGAATGGCCCAGGACGCGGGAAAAATTATGAGAAGGCATGCCTGTCCCGCCAAATGCGGGACATCTGGTCACCTTATCTTATAATGATGGATGTTAACACTTCTTTCTTTGTTCTGAATGTTCTTGTCTCCTTTTTGTTCTGGTTACAACTTAAGAATCTCGCAAGATATATCTCTTATCTTCTCAAGTCATATTGCATTCCTTTGATTTTAACCAGAATGCCACATTTCATTTTATAATTCCTTAGATTGGTCAAACAATATGTAACCTAAATTCTGTTCTGAAAAATTTCATTATATTAACAGAGTATAAATCTTTTTCTCCTGAAGGAAAGCTTTAGGGAAGTAGTTTTTTCCCCCTCAAAATACTAGGGATTAATATCACAAAACAGGTTACAATGATACATTTTATTGGACTGAACTTTAGCTGTTTAAAAGTACAAGCTGTCAAACCACACAGAGGCCTTTCCGGAAGCCAAGGGTTTGAAATAAAATAAAATAAAATGCATCATTTAATTTCACATCCAGATTTTGTATCTTATCATAAAGCTGTTTCCATACAAAAGCAATTCTTGAAATATAATAGAACTATGTTCCAATTAAACTGAATTGGCAAAAAAATGATTCATAGTTTGAGTCATGAAATTCATTTTTCCATGCCAGGGATCGGCAATGAAAAAACTATTAGGGAGTTCACCAATTTCTCCTTTCTTACTTTTTTCTTAAAACTCCTTGCCAACCAATTCTCAAACTGCTGTTCTCCCAAAGTGTTAGGATTCTACACCTAAAATTCATAGCTAGTATGGGGAAAGTTCCCCTGTTTGATGGCAAATAAAAGCTTTTAGTGAAGTATGCTTCTTTGCTTTTGATAATATAATGACTACATATGATTCTTACCATACTGAGATCTTGGCATGTGTCTGGAAGAAATTGATTATATCAATTAGTTATGCACAGTAATATTACTTTTAAGGCAGCATAGTTTGATATTATGTAAGATGATATTATTCCGTCATTCAAATGCTCACTACTGGACTGGCTTAAAGGTTAGAAAAATCTGTATATTGTAGTGCTAATTGCACATTAATATGAATTTATGTTGAGGATGCAATGCCATAGTATAAGAAATTAATATTGTTGTATTTGCAGAGAAATTAAGATCTAATGATTTCCTAATAAACTAATTTGTTCATAGATCACAAGAGGATTATAGGCAAGAAGCCTATAATGATATGACTAAGGCAATTATTTTTCACTATCTAATTATACCTTCACAACTGATCAGGTTTTCATTTGGAGACTTAAATGGTGGTACAGAACAGCCCAACGACATTCACATCTATCACTAAGAGCAAGTTACTGGACTTTGACAAAAGGGAGAGCTGCTCATGAAAGGTAATTTAATATAATTAAGAATGTATTATGTTTGCTAGGTGATCAGTTTGCCTTCTTCAAATAAAACCTAAGTACCAGAGAACTGGGAATTAATATTTTTCTCCAGTTCAGTCCTATAAGCTAATAGCTATTTCAAGGAGTTATCACTTTAAAATATCAAGTCATAGATATAAAATTCAACAAGCATTTCTTTAAGAGAATCCATTAAGAATTTTAAGAAATGGAAACTTACAGGAGAAGTGGATAGGAAAAGAATGGGCTAAATAAATACGTAGTAATATTGTTAAAGGTAAGCTTAATAGTACTACTATTACAGTTGTTATTACTGCAACTACTCAGAGGAAGGAGATAAAATAATCCCAAGTATAAAATATACATAGAAAGATTAAAAAAATATTGTTTTCTTCACCTTTCTTACAAGCGGGCAATATGAGCAATATCTCATGAACGGATGGTTTTTTCCTCTTATTTATATATTTACTACATTATAAACAGTGCTGCGGATTAGACACATTTTTAATT